TCAGTCATTTCTGTATGTATTTTACAGTATGTGGTATAGACCTATGCAAAAGCCAGTGTTCACAAGAAACAGACTGTGCCTGTGAATGTGTGCACGTGCCCGACAAGAGAAAGCAAGTAAAAGAGTGTGTTTTGACAATAATAATGACTGCAAATGAAAATACAGTAGAATTGAAAAAATACCCAATAATTGAGCATCAGGCAGAAATCATACAGTCCAGAGATGCAGCAATCAGATTCTCAATTTGACTGGTGTTCTGTCACCATTGGAAATTATGCTATCTGGGGGCACTCTCTTTCGTCAATGACAGGAAATGGAAACAGAGCAGACGTTGGTGGCGATATATGCTGTTACCTCAGGAAGTAACCATGGCCCCTCATCTGATGTAGACTACAGGATGAACAGAAACAAGAAACTGAACAGTATTTACAATAACAGTAAATGTGGTTGCCCTACAAAATAACACACACACATACAAATTGTGAAATTATTTGAAGAACAGATCAGGAAAGGGGACAATCAAATGTACATTTCAGCTATTTAGAGCTGTATAGCCGACACTCTTATCAGTTGCAGTCACGGCTAACAAATTATATCATGCTCACAGTAGTCGTAAACGCTTAATATATTATATGTATATATTAATATATTATCCTACAACTTGCCCCAATGAGTCACTAGGTCCTGCAGTTACAAAGTAAGCAGACACACCTATTCACCATCTTATAAGAACAAACAACAGTTTGTAACCATGGCTGCACTCCTACCAAGCCAGAGATGTTAGGTACAGCAAAACGTTCTCATTGCTTATGCCGTCTGGCAAGATCTTTGCTTTCCTGTGTACATGTTTACTTGTTATCATCACAGATTCATCTAATATAAGAAGTTGTGTTTTAAATATTGAACCAACATGTTTAATTCAGGGGATTGATGTTAGATGTAGAAGACTGAAAATGTTTTGATTTTGCGATGCACACAGACACACAGGTTGTCTTTTGAAGAAAGCGTCACTATGCGGGGATCATAAATGATTACCAGAAAAGAGAGCAGCATTTCCAGGAAACAGTGCTATAGGAGACCAGATATACAGTGGGGGAAAAAAAGTATTTAGTCAGCCACCAATTGTGCAAGTTCTCCCACTTAATAGGATGAGAGAGGCCTGTAATTTTCATCATAGGTACACGTCAACTATGACAGACAAAATGAGAAAAGAAAATCCAGAAAATCTTTTTAATGAATTTATTTGCAAAATATGGTTGAAAATAAGTATTTGGTCAATATTACAGGTAACGAGTGGAGGACAGAGGAGCCCCTTAAAGAAGAAGTTACAGGACTGTGATAATTTGATAATAAGTGTAATTGCAGGCTCCCAGGGAAGCCAAAAAACTATCTTTGACCGCAATTCACCAGTCACCTGTGGCCACAGGTGGCCATGAATAGCCTGCATGCCGAAGTGTGTCATAAACTCATGCCTTTATTTGAAGTTTGCCCTGCTTGCCGTGTCTAAAGTGCCTGAGGTGACTCTGATTTATTTTTTATTTTTTTAAGTAATACAAACACCTCTAAATTCTTGAATATGATGACTTGTTCTCTAAGTGGTGCACAAAATAAAGAAAAAAAGACTGAAAAGACAAAATAAATGTATTTAGCAAAAGTGCGTAAAAATAAGCCTACTCGACAATCGCTGTTTTAAATGCTCCCAGCTAACTGGCACAAGGATGACTTACATTTTCAGCCACAAATGACAGACAAGACAACTATCCAAATGGATAAAGATGTATTTAGTAAGAAAATTATTATTAACTGATTATAAACAGAAATAAGGAGATTGGTGGGATTCTCTGGTCCGGTGGGGAGGCACGTGTTACTTGCAGCCGGGAGTAACTCAACCACGGTTCTGCATGAGGAGCTCATTTCTTGGGGCAACGGTCGTGGCAGGCGCAGGTGAGAGCAGCGACCAGGACCACGAACTCACTGAAGTCCACCTCAGAGTCTCCGTTATGGTCCAAAGCCTTCATCAGCTTGTCACAGTCCCCGGGGTTCTTAGAGGCCTGCAGAGAAACAGAGGAGAAGGAAGGAGTTCTTCTGAGTGTCCCACAAAACAACAGGATTCATCTCAAGGACTGTTATTCACACAAACAGTGTGATATATAAACTATAGAATTGACTTCCCGGTTAGAACAGGATCTCCCTGTGTCACATCTTCACTTCTGGGCGTTTTGATAAGACATTCTCTACATAGTAATCCCTCATAAGTGTTCATGATCAATCAGTAAATGTGCAAATGGATGGGACAATAAAGATTTGTTGAATCTAATAAATTTGGTGCAGTGTACAGTACCTTCAGGAGAGAAGGCAACTCCTTTTCCATCATGGTCTTGAGCTCAGCCTTACTCAGCGTGCCCTTGTTGCCCTCGGCTCCAGAGTACTTGTCAAAGGTCTTCAGGAGGATGGCCATCGCTGTCTCGAGTTGGGACATGACTGCTACTGGTGAGGATAACGTTAGGACAAAAAACTCCAAGGCAACGTTCGGCGACTGGACAGGAGGAGAGGTGAAAGTACAGGGTGGAATTGAAGTCTCCTTTATATTCTGCTCATGTCTTAATGTTGTTTGATGTTTGAATCAAATAACTTACTAAAGCCACTGTTGGCCCAGTGCTTGGGAGGTGGCAGTGACCGATAGTGTTTGATTTGGGGGAGTTTACGTTTGAGTCAACATAATCTTAACATCAAAACGCCTATTGCAAACATTACCTCAATGTCCGGTACCATCGAATTCTGTCGTGCCACTGTTTCAAATCGGATTTGATTTAAGAAGAGTTAAAATGTTCTTAGGGTAGTGTTCTTAGGAATGTGTTTGGACCCTTGTGGCTGTTTTCTTTCAGAGCTGCTGTTAGCTTACTTTGAGTGACTTTCTGGACACAGGCCTAATGAGTTTTGGTTGGCTATATTAAAATGGTCACACAAATGATTTGAGTGTTTCTGTAGGAGTGTGAACCTGATGTAACTAGATGTGAGAAAAGATCACATCGTGTTCTTTGGTCAAAACCACATGACCTGACCAGGAAAAATGCTGGGCTATAGTTATAAGGTATAAGAGACTATAGATGATACACTGAACAAAAATATAAAACGCAACATATCAAGTGTTGGTCCCATGTTTCATGAACTGAAATAAAAGATCCCAGAAATTTTCCATATGCACAAAAAGCTTATTTCTTTCAAATTTTGGGCACACATTTGTTTGCATCCCTGTTAGTGAGCATTTCTCTTTTGTCAAGATAATCCATCCACCTTACAGGTGTGGCATATCAAGAATCTGATTAAACAGCATGAACATTACACAGTTGCACCTTGTGCTGGGGACAATAAAAGTCCACTCTAAAATGTGCAGTTTTGTCACAAAACACAACGCCACAGATGTCTTTTGAGGGAGCGTGCAATTGGCATGCTGACTGCAGGAATGTCCACCTGTCACGTCTCCTCCCATTGCTCCCCTCCGGCGCTCTGATTCACCGGTCTACTGAGCCACCGGTCTGAGCGCACCACCTCGCACACTAAATACCTCCAGCGCACCTGCACCTCATCATCTCATCACCACCCCTATTTAGCCCCGGACTGTTCTGTATGATGTTGTGTGTGATTGTTTAGCTTCGTGTCATGTACTCTATCTTTGTTATTTCTCTTTGTCATTGTTAAGTAAACCTTGACCTTGTTAATTCCTGCGTCTGCGTCCTGCCTCTTCATATACTCAGTACTCGTCACAGAATCACACACCAAATGAAAATGGATGCAGCAGGAGTTTCCCAGTGCCTGGACCAGCACCAGCAGCAGCTTGCCCAGTTGCAATGCAGGAAGTGTTCCAAACTCTGCATAATTTGCCCAGAACTCTGTGTCCACCTCAGGAAGCGGCGAGTGCCCCCAATCCACCTGTCCCCTGGCTATCACCCACTTCTGCGGGAACCCTCGCCCTACCGGAGCACTATGACGATAAAACTACTAAATGTAGCGGCTTCCTGCTACAGGTTTCCCTTTATCTGGCGCGTCTGCCTGGGGCATATCCATCTGACCAAGCCAGGATAGCGCTGGTGATTTCGCTACTTAAAGGGAAGGCGTTGGATTGGGCCACGGCAGTCTGGGGAGGAGAGGAGGCAGTGGCACTACCCTACCCCACCTTCCTCGCCTGGTTCAGGGCGGTGTTTGATCATCCCACGGAGCGAAAGGACGGGGGTGAGCATCTCCTCCATCCACAACAGAGAGAGGGGCCCGCGTCCGAGTACACTCTGAGCTTTCGCACGGTGGCGGCGTCTTCCGGCTGGAATGATTGTGATCTTCGCATCGGCCTTCAGGAGAGTCCTACGGGAGGACATTAAGTCGGAACTCGCATGTCGGGACGACGAGATGGACCTTGATACCCTCATCACCACGTCCATCCGTCTTGATGAAATGTTGAGAGAGAGACGGCGTTCCCAACAGCTCCCGGAGCCTCGACGCTCACCCCATCTAAGCTATGGAAGCCGTCCAGATTCCGAGTCCTCACCCATGGAGGTGGGCAGCACCCCCTACACCACCACGGAACACAGATCTCCTGGCAGCTCCCTATCTAGGCGATATGACTCCCGTCGCCGCTCCGTTAGTGTGACGTCATCTCCTATCACAAAACCATTGTTTTTGGTTCCCATAACGGTGACTGGTTATTCCTTCTCTTCCATTTCTACTGCTATGATAGATTCCGGATCAGTGGGGAACCTTATAGATAGGGAGCTGGTCTCTGAATGGGGGTTGCCCACCATGCCACTGCCATCTCCGCTACACGTCACCTCATTGGACAATAAACCCCTTGGATCAGGCACCATTACGCACGTCACTCTCCCCATCACCATCACCATTCCCACACTACCAGAGCACCACGAGGAGCTGTCATTCCACATCGTCACGTCACCCCTTCACCGGATCGTCTTGGGATTGCCCTGGCTCAGACTACACAACCCCACCATCAATTGGATCACCAAGAGGATCACAGCCTGGTCCACCTCATGCCGGAAGACCTGCCTGCCGGTGGTTTGTTGTTCCACGTCAGTGGAGAGTTCGGAGTCCGCCCTCCAGCCCAACATTCCACATGAGTACGCAGATCTCTCCGATGTCTTCTCTTCATCAAAGGCTATGTGTCTCCCTCCTCACAGGCCCTGGGACTGTGCCATAGACCTGCTGGAGGGACAACACCCCCCGAAGAGTCGCATTTACCCCCTTTCCATGGCGGAGACTGAGGCCATGGAGAAGTATGCGGCGGAGACCCTGAAACAGGGGTTCATCAGACGCTCTACCTCTCCTGCCTCCGCCAGCTTCTTCTTCATGGCCAAAAAAGACAGAGGACTGAGACCATGCATTGACTACAGGGGGCAGAACGCAGTCACCACCAAGTACCGGCACCCCCTCCCTCTGGTTCCGTCAGCCATCGAGCAGCTACGAGGGGCACGGTACTTTACCAAGTTGGACCTGAGGAGTGCCTACAACATCATCCGAATCCGGGAAGGAGATGAGTGGAAGACGGCATTCAGCACTACCTCAGGCCACTATGAATACTGCGTCATGCCCTACGGCCTCGCCAACGCACCTTCTGTGTTCCAGTCCTTTGTCAATTATGTGTTCTGGGACATGCTGAGTAGACAGGTGGTGGTGTACATCGATGACATCCTGATCTACTCAGCTACGTTCGAGGAGCACGTCAGGGACGTCCGAGTTGTCTTACTATTCCTCCGGGAACATAGCCTGTTGGTGAAAGGGGAGAAATGCAAATTCCACCAACAGGCCATCTCCTTCCTAGGATACAGGATCAGTCCTCAGGGGGTGTTCATGGAAGGAGTGAAGACGGATGCCGTCAGGTCATGGCCAGCCCCCACCACCATCAAGGGCTACAGAGCATCCTGGGATTCGCCAATTTCTACCGGCATTTCATCAGGTCCTTCAACTCCATAGTCGCCCCGCTCACCTCTCTCCTTAAGGGTGGGCCTCAGAAGCTGGCCTGGAACCCTGAGGCTGACGCTGCCTTCAAGAGGCTGAAGGAGAAGTTCACCACAGCGCCCATCCTAAAACACCTAGATCCCTCTCGTCCTTTCATCCTGGAGGTGGACGCATTGGAGGAGGGCATGGGTGCGGTCCTCTCCCAGCGGCACAGTAAGCCAGAGAAAATGTATCCCTGTGCCTTTTTCTCAAAAAAGCTTACCCCTGCAGAGAGGAACTATGGAGTTGGAGACTGGGAGCTGTTGGCGGTGGTCCTCACTCTGGAGGAATGGAGACAATGGCTGGAGGGCGCAGTCCATCCATTCCGGATTCTTACTGACCACCGGAATTTGGAGCACATATGGACAGCGAAACAGATGAACTCTCGTCAAGCCAGGTGGGCCCAATTTCTTACTTGATTTCAATTCATTCTGTCCTATCACCCAGGATCCCAGAATGTGAAAGCCGACGCACTCTCCAGGATGCACCATACCGGAGAAAGGAAGGATCTGGGGGGTCCGATCCTGCCCTCGTCTCTCATCGTTGCACCTGTCGTTTGGGATGTGGACGAAGACATCCGCCTGGCAGCTCAGGAGGACCCAGTGCCTGCCAACGCCCCGCCAGGGCGCGTGTATGTACCCACCTGTGTCTGTGACCGCCTGCTGATCTGGGCGCACACCACCCTTACGGCAGGGCACTCTGGTATTACGCGCACCCTGCATTCTCTAGCCCAAAAATAGTGGTGGCCCACCTTGGCTTCTGATGTGTCCCGCTACGTCAACTCCTGTTCCGTATGTGCCCAAACGAAGACACCTCGGAACGCCCCGGCAGGCAAACAGGTTTACTGAGTCTACTGAGCCACCGGTCTGAGCGCACCACCTCGGCAACACCGGAATGGAAACCCAACGCACCCTAATCACCTCCAGCGCACCTGCACCTCATCATCTCATCACAATTACATTTACATTTTAGTCATTTAGCAGACGCTCTTATCCAGAGCAACTTACAGTTAGTGAGTGCATACATTTTCATACTGCCCCCCCGTGGGAAACGAACCCACAACCCTGGCATTGCAAGCACCATGCTCTACCAACTGAGCTACATCCATCACCACCCCTATTTAGCCCTGGACTGTTCTGAATGATGTTGTGTGTGATTGTTTAGCTTCGTGTCATGTACTCTATCTTTGTTATTTCTCTTTGTCATTGTTTAAGTAAACCTTGACCTTGTTAATTCCTGCGTATGCGTCCTGCCTCTTCGAATACTCAATACTTGTCACACCACCAGAGCTGTTGCCAGATAATTGAATGTTAATTTCTCTACCATAAGCCGCCTCCAACGTCGTTTTAGAGAATTTGGCAGTACGCCCAACCGGCCTCACAACCGCAGACCACGTGTATGGCGTCGTGTGGGTGAGCAGTTTGTTGATGTCAACGTTGTGAACAGAGTGCCCCATGGTGGCGGTGGGGTTATGGTATG